TCTCTCTCTCTCTCTCTCTCTCTCTCTCTCTCTCTCTCTCTCTCTCTCTCTCTCTCTCTACACACACACACACACAGTGTCACATCTACTACTTCTCGGATATAAGCCTGTGCTGATTCTGTAACGATTTCCTAACTCTGGACACCTCCGGATGCCTTGCGTTGGCCGCGCGAATTGTCTCCTGTCCCCTCCTCCTGTCTACTACTTAATCGCCTCCTTATCTACTCCTTACCTAGTCCTTATCTACTACTTAATGCACTTACCGCAACCAATCAATCTTCCTCCGAATCCGATCTTACATCTTCACCCACATCTCCTTTATTCTTAACCATACGGATGACCATCCTTGAAATAAGCAGCCACCAGTACAGGTTAAGGACCAGGAGAGTGATGAGGAGGGAGTTGAAGAAGTAGTACAAGTACGGAGCATGCGGGAACGCCACGACGTCCAGCACTTGCAGCACTTCGAAACTAGTGCTATAAATTACCCAAAATGGAAAGTAAATCAATCTCAATAGTAACCAGGATATGACAAAAAGGGAAAAGAAGATGGTCGATCCGATTTCCACTTTGGTATAGACGAACATTTTGGCAGTTTCCAAAAAAATGTCGTTGGCGTCGTGCACCGCAAGCACGACCGATCCCACTCTAGCAAAACTGTTGACGTACGAAAAAAGAACCAACAGGATCGTCGTCGTGTGATGACATACCGTGACGAAGAAGTCCGATCTCTTCGCGTCCCATAGGAAAAGGGCAAAGCAACTGTAGACACAATATCCCCCAGCGTACATATAAAAGGCTTTCAGCTTGAGCTTGACATCCTGCAAGGGCCAACCCTCCCAAAAAGCGGAGGTGTTTCCAAACCAAGGCTCATTGCAAGTGATCGAGAAGAAGAAAATCTCCGCGCTCACGTAATAAACGACCCTCCACGAAGCTTCCTTGAACTTTCGCACAAGTTTCACCTTCTCTTCGTCGGTCATCTTCTCGATCTCCTTCTTTTTCTCCCCTCTCTTCGTCGTTGTCGTCATCGTTTTCCCCGGAGGTGGATTGGCTGATCTCCTCCTCCTCCTCTTCTTCTTCTTCTCCTCCTCCTCCTCCTCCTCCGCCGCCGCCGTAGTATCAGAAGAGGGAGGGAGATCCCGATCCCGATGGAGATCTCCCAACCTCTTCACATTGAACGGGGGGGGGGCTTGCAGTTTCTCACAGTTCCGAGATTGGCAGTTAGGAGGAGGAGGGGGAGGAGGAGGTAAGCTTCCATCGTCGACATGACCGTTCGCCAGCGGAACTGCGCGCCGAGTCGGTGTAGATGGAGAAGATGACGAGGATTCGTCCACGTGGCAGCCGTTGGCGATGACACGTGGCTTAGTCTTGCTCTTCTCGGCAGAAAAAGGGGAAGAAGGAGAAGAAGACGAAGGAGAGTCGTGGGAAGAGAGAGAAGAGGAGGTAGAGGTAGAGGTAAGGGAATCAGCTGCAAGCTTCTCCTTCTTTCTCCTCCTCCTCCTCCTCAAAGAATCACACCCATTGTCAGATACTTGTCCAGTACTGGTGTCATTCCTACCCCCAGAATTGTGCCCATTACATAACGTACTATTATTATTACTGCTACTCGTACTGCGTTTCTTAAGCTCTGGTGCTGGAGACGAAGCAGAGGAAGAGGCGGTCAAAGAAGTAGTAGAAGGGATAGAGAGAGAGGGAGAGGAGAAAGAGGATTTCTTCCCGCATTTGCTTTTGATTATTTTGCTTTTTTCGCTCAAGGAGGAGTCGGTTTTCGGCTTGGATTTTTTGAAACAATCGGAAGAACCAAAAAGACATCTCCTTGCCAACGAATCGAAGATAATGCCATCGAGGATCGCTCGCACCACGTAAAAAAAAGCCGCGAAGACAAAAACAAACAGAGTGTCTCGCCATCGAGGCGGAGACTTTGCGTCTAAATCGATTGCTGACGTGACGGCTTCTGGAACAAAAAACTCCATAGCCGAAATCAACAAGGAAGACGAAGATGCGCTCTTGTTGACGACCACCATAGCTGCGCCGGATGGCGTTGTTTTATTGCGTCCAGCAAAGAAGGAATTAATATATATATATATATCGTCACAAACAGAACTGCCCGGTAAACCGTAGGCAGAGAGAGAGAAGAGGACAACAAACGAGGGGCTGTGACAAACTGTTTCGTCGGAGTTTCACCGACTCATCAGGAGTTGTCACAAGATATCGGAGCGCAAATATATATATATCGTCAAATAGAACTGCCCGGTAAACCGTAGGCAGAGAGGGAGAAGAGGACAACAAACGAGGGGCTGTGACAAACTGTTTCGTCGGAGTTTCACCGACTCATCAGGAGGCATATATATATATCGTCACAAGAGTATATATATTGTCACACTGAATCAGAGCGCGAAGGCGAAAAAAAGCAAAACAAGGAAAGGAAAAAAAGGAAAGACATATTCGATAAGATTTCCGTACAGAAGGGGGATAGGACGCTCGATGATACCGATGATTGTGGCTGCGAGCGTACGGCGAAGTCGAGCACAACTGGGCACCACTTCCGAGAGAGAGACAGAAAATCGGAGAAACAGATAAACAAACGGAGAGAGCGCGCCAGGGGTAGAGGGAAGAAGATCATGTACGCCGAAGTCGAGCACCGCTGGGCGCCACTTGCGAGGGGGGGAGAGAGAGAGAGAGAGAGAGAGAGAGAGAGAGAGAGAGAGAAAATCGAAAAAACAGATAAACAAACGGAGAGAGAGCGACAGGGGTAGAGGGAAGAAGATAATGTACGCCGAGGTCGAGCACCACTGGGCGCCACTTGCGAGGGAGAGAGAGAGAGAGAGAGAGAGAGAGAGAGAAAGAAAAGACTGAGAAACAGAAATAAACGGAGAGAGAGGGAGAGAGAGGGGAAGAGTGGGGAAGATGAGCGGACGACGAGGTCGAGCACAGCTGGGCACCACTTGCGAGAGAGAGAGAAACGAGGGAGAAATCGCCAAATAAACGGGGGGAGAGACAAAGAGAGGGAGAGAAAGAGAGAGTGAGAGGGGGAGGGGGAGGGGAAGATGAGCGTCCACCGAAGTCGAACACCAACGGGCAACCACTTCCAAGAGAGAGAAGAGAGAGAGAGAGAGACGACGGCGAAAGAGAAATAAACGGGGAGAGAAAGAGAGGGAGGCGGGGGGGGGGGGAGAGAGAGAGTGAGAGAGGGAGAGAGAGAGAGAGAGAGAGAGCTCTCTCTCGAGAGGGAGAGGACACACACACGGAAAAAAAAAAAAAAAGAGAGAGAGAGAGAGAGGGGGGGGGGGGGGGGGGGGGGAAGAAGGGAGGAAGATGAGAGAATCGTCCTTGCTGCTGGATGCTGGAATAGCTAAGCCGACAGACTACCGGTTTGCTGTCTGTCCCTCTCACTCTCTCTCTCTCTTTCTCTCCCTCTCTCAGATGACTGACCTTTCTGATGAGAGCTGCCCGAGTGCTGCTTTATATAGACTTCCCTTTACCGCAATCATCTGGGGCTCTTCCTCGGTAGCGCGGAGAGCTTTTCCTTGTTAGTACTATAACCTAATCCGACCGACCTAATATACACACCCCTGCCAACTTAACGACATTCGAGTCGTTTCCACGTATCGTTTTCACTCCTATCAATGTCACGTGTTCGGACGTATCGTTTTCACTCCTATCAATGTCACGTGTTCGGACGTATCGTTTTCACTCCTATCAATGTCACGTGTTCGGACGTATCGTTTTCACTTTTGTCGTTTCCACGTGGCATTTTCACTTTCGTCGTTTCCACGTGTCGTTCCCACCTATTTGCTGGCGTAGATCATCCGTCGGGTTAGACTGTTCGTCCCTGTAAGACTGACACGTGGACGGGCTAATCAAGCACAAGCCGATCCCGATCAAAACGACGAGCCGATCCCTATCAAAACGAGACAAACAAGCGATGTAGCCGATCCCGATCAAAGCGCGCCGAACAACTGACGAAGCCACTACGGGTCAAAGCGCGCTGATGAGCAACGAGCGGATACGGATCAAAGCTCGCCAATGAGCGACGAAGCCGATCATAGCACGCCGAACAAGCGATGAAGCCGATCCCGATCAAAGTGCGCCGAACAACCGACGAAGTCGATACGGCTCAAAGCGCGCCGATGAGCAACGAGCCAATACGGATCAAAGCGCGCCGATGAGCGATGAAGCCGATACGGATCAAAGCGCGCCGATGAGCAACGAAGTCGATCCCGATCGAAGCGCCGAACAAGCAATGACGCCGATCCCGATCAAAGCGCGCCGATGACCGACGAGCCGATACGGATCAAAGCGCGCCGATGAGCAACGAAGTCGATCCCGATCGAAGCGCGCCCAACAAGCAATGAAGCCGATCCCGATCAAAGCGCGCCGACGAGCGACGAAGCCGAAACGGGTCAGTGCGCGCCGAACAAGCCATGAAGCCGTTCCCGACGATCAAAGCGCGCCCATGACCGACCAGCAGCAAACCGCCACACCAATCCCATCAGCAGCAAACCGCCACACCAATCCCATCAATCGAGAATCCATTGTCGCACAAACGTGTCGCACAATTATCTCGGCAGCCGCAGCTTCGGTAAGAAGATTCGAACGTGTGCCACACGCAGTAGTCGTCTGCCAATCAGGGAAACAAAAAGGAACAAACAAACGAACAGACCCTACGCCCTTACCTGACATCGCACAGCACCAATTGAGAATCCATGTGTCGCACACACCATGTCGCACAGACCGCACAACTGCCTCCGCAGGCGCAGCTTCGATGAGAAGAAGATCGCGACTGACGCCATAGTTGGGATCTGGTATTAGTTGAACTCACGTGATCGTCGGGATCTTGTATTAGTTGAACTTGCGTGATCGTCGGGATCTGGTATTCACCCAGATCAGGATCTGGTCGACATTGCTTCGGCGTGAGAATGTCCCGACTGTCTCTGCCTCTGCCTCTGTCGCGCTCTCCTACGTCGAGCAGACAGCATCAGTCGCTCACCTGCGTCGTCGCACAGGATCTCTCGACTACTCCCAGCGTCAAACAACACTACTCTGAGCTGAGAAACGAACCACGGTGGACTTCACCGATCGAGCCCACCCATACACTCCGTCGCCTCGCCTCGTTCCTACACTTTCTACTCCTACTCCTCCCCCCCTCCTCCCCCTCCTCTTTCTGCCCCCCACCCCTCTTCCTATTCCCACCTTTAAATTATAGGCCCCCTTTACCTCCGCCAAACGCCTCTCTTAGCGTTCAACTATTGTACTGACGACGGCTATGGTTTCGCAGCCGCATAGCCGCAGGATCAACACGCGCCGCCGTCTCTCATTCCTATACTTCCTCCTCCCCCCCCCTGCAATCCTCCTCCTCCTCCTCCTCCTCCTCCTCCTCCTCCTCCTCCCCTCTCTTCCTCCCCTGTCTTCCACCTCGTCCTTGCGGCGCCCCTTCACATCACCCCAACGCCTCTCTTCCTGAGCGTTCCACTGATCTAAGGACGGCTATGGCGTCGAAACCCTAGGCTCGGCACGCGCCCACCTCCCTCCACGTGTTGTACTTTGTGCCGCCCCCCTCCCTCCACGTGTTGTACTTTATGCCACCATCGACACAACTACGTTCTAGTTGGCGCCGCCATCGCCAGACCTAACCTACGTCGTCATTTGCGCCGCCATCGCCAGACCTAGCTCGTCATTTGCGTCGCCATCGCCGTCGCTCGACCTAGCTCGTCATTTGCGCCGCCATCGCCATCGCCAGACCTAGCTCGTCATTTGCGCCGCCATCGCCAGACCTCGCTCATCATTTGCGCCGCCATCGCCAGACCAAGATAACCTCTTTGGTGCAGAAGACTGAGAAGACGAAAGACCGAAGGGGTTCGCTCGACTCGATCACTTTCGAGACAAACCGAAGTTCGATCCCAGAGGGCACGTGCAAAATGAGAACGAACTTCCCGCTATAACATGGCCAGATGCACCCGCCTCATTTTTGTCTTTCTCACATTTCGAGAGTGGTGTGGCGCGGCCCAGAGAGTCCATCCATCGAATCGTCACATACAACGTTGCGGACCATGCATTTGGACGCTTCTGGACCAAGTGCATTAGGACGAGTCCACGTTTTGAAGAGGCGGGATGTCGAGGCCGTGCATCTGGCGGAGGCGACTTGTGCGAGGCTCTGCCCTCTCGGTCGGCCTCGCTCCAGTACTCACCACATGCACAAGAGACAAAATATAAATATATGGCGGTGCATCTTACAGTGTTCTCGCGGAAAATTCATTCACATTTTGCACATTTGGTGAGTGAAGCAAGGCCCAATGTCCGAGTAGCTAAGGGGGCCATATGTGGGGTGCTGAATTTTTATTTTTAGCGCGGGTGCCCCGAAGGAGCCCCGCGGATGGTCCAGTTTGCCCCTGGGATTCTCGAATAGCACGCGCGGTTGAGAGCGGGCAAAGGAAAAAGGAAGAGGGTTGGTGTTTCGTCGCGGTTGCTGTACCCCATTTGGCACATGACAAGTCCACCGCGTGAACGAATGTATATATGTATATACAAACACCGTACTTTCGGCGATCGAAGTTTTCGCTGCACTGTGGGGCAAAGGGAGTAGAGGTGCTGCGGGACAACAAGCGTGTTCGAGCGTTCTTTTTTCTCGATTTATGCGTGTCATCCTTGTGCAGGGGCCATGCTAATCTACTCTGTATCGTTCCAATTTTAACGGATGTCCCGAAGGACTGTCCGAGCATTCTTGGCAGCCGATTCTGAGGGAGTACCCCATCTCCCAGCTCACCGTGAGACGGCCGCCGCTGCCCAGGGAGACGGCCAAGATCACCACAAGTCAGCTGCCATAGTTCAGCATGCCAGAGCGCTTCTGAGGGATTCCGCCATCTCCGGCCTCACTGTTAGACGGCAGCCGTGCTGACCGGGCAAACCGCCAAGCTCACCACAAGTCAGCTGCCATAGTCGAGCAGCCCTCATCAGCCCAGGGGACGCATCAAATATATTCATTCATTGATTCATTCACCTTTTGTCATATCTTCGAGAGAAGGGAAAATGTGGCCGTCCCCAACACGTGACCAGCGGCGCATATGCTCGAGAAGACGTACTGCAGCGCACATGGCAGCGACATTGGCGATGGTGTACCACCTCCAGGAAATGGAGGTGCTTTTGTTCATCCTGCTGGTGGTAGTCCGGCGTTGTGTGCGTGCCACGCATCGATCAGCAGACCGCCTATCGTGTCTTCTGGCAGCTGATCTGTCAATCATGACGGCGGTCATGAAAACTATTTCATCATCAGCAAATCCGAGGAGGTAGTGCGTTAAACCACCAGTAGTGTCGCACGACCTAGATTTGCCCAGTTGGTAACCATTGGGTGCTTTCCATCAGCAACCACAAGCCGGCAGAGCGTGGCGCAACATGCTGATGGGCGATGAAAGATTATTGGGTCGACAAGATTCGAATGGGTGAGGACACCTTTCGGGTATAGTAGGCATCCTTGAACCATTCCTTCAGAGAACTTGAATGTCGACGCACTATAGGAAGCCAACCCCGCTAGACCAGCTGGAGGCATATGCTTTGTACCGTCCGACGACAGGGGAGTCGTTCGAGCATTCGACGACATATTTCCATTTGGGTCGTGAAACGGGGCGTGTGGTTGTCTTGGCCGTGATGAATGCTATACTATTTGCGTATCCGGGCGAGGTCGCTTTCCCGGCCCATGCGCGGCAAGTCAAGGCGATCGCAAAGTTCAAGAGCAAAGGCCTCCCTCGGTGTTATGGAGCGGTAGACTACACTTATATTTACATAGATAAGCCTGGTGGCGCACCTGCACGACCATACTGTGGTCGAGGAAGAAAGAACTCCATCATCGCCTAGGTCGTGGCTGGTGCGGATCTGCGAATCTACAACATTTGTGTGGGCTGGCCAGGCTACATGCGTGATGCAAGGGTCCTGCAGAATTATACCTTATGGATATATCGGATAACAGTATTCTTTTCACATCCAATCCGAATAACATTTGTTTGCAAATGTCGAAACATGTGAATACATGTTGAGAGACAACGGTTATCCCTCACTTTCTTGGTTGGTAATACCGTATGGCGGTCAGCATCCTCATGTTAGCGACCACAAGGACTTTTGGATGCATGATAAGTAACTTGGAGAAGGGTGTTGGCTTCAAGTTCATCCAAATCATAGTTACCTATTGTTTCTAAACAAGTGTGTCATTAATGAAGATCATCTCTCTCTCTCTCTCTCTCTCTCTCTCTCTCTCTCTCTCTCTCTCTCTCTCTCTCTCTCTNTGTGTGTGTGTGTGTGTGTGTGTGTGTGTGTGTGTGTGTGTTTGTTTCTCTTTGTGTGTATGACACTCTCAACTACGATGGAGTGTTTTACTATTGTAATATAGCTCGATAGCAAGAAAATCATAAGAAATGAAATAAAATGATATGATATTGGTTCCTGGCACAAACAAAGTAAATAATTACAATTCATTGAAAAAGTAAAGAGGTAAGTACATTCACGTCAGTTTTGAATATCTAACAACTTGAAGCAAAAAAAATCATGTATCGATAAAGAAACCTAGCACCGAGTTTGAAAAAGCAATGAAAGTACCAACGGTCATAGTGTCAGGTCGGGTGTCATATTTATAGGGGTCGGGCGTGATCTCGGATGGAGCAAGAAGAGAAAAAAAAAAAAAAAAAACGAAAATAAACAAAAAAAATTCGATTCAAATCGTCATTTCGAAGTCCTCACATGTTTTCTTTGTCCACGTGTGTTTTTTTTGTATTTGCGTCATTGTTTCAAACGCAAATCTTTCAAAAATCCACATAGAAACAAAACCATATATATTAGAGTTTAAGACATATCGAAAAAAATCCTTTAACATGAACAATGTCATTGTTAGGGTCAACACCGTGGGAATG